GAGTATGGATCGATTTTTTTTTTACACTGCTCGAGCTCGAGCTCGAGCTCGTCGAGCCTTAGTTTTCGAGGCTCGACTCGACTCGTCAGAAGAACTAGATTACTCGAGCTCAGCTCGAGATTACTCGAATTCTTAGGCTCGAAAAATTGCTCGAGTTCGGCTCGAAAAATTGCTCGAATTCAGCTCGAAAAAACTTCAATCACACTAAACATGGACCAACTATTTACTACAAAAAGATGCCCAACAACAACATTAAATATGTACTAACACTTTCACAGCCCAAAAATACTTAACAAACCAGAGTACAATGCAATTCATACAATTCACTTCCCTACTACATCATCCAATTCATCCAATACTTAACTTTCACCACCATAATTCACTCCATCATCAAATTAATTTCCCTGCTCCCAAAAACAAAGTACAATGTAAAATGAGTAAGATGAGCCATAACCAATAAATTCCCAAGAGTTCATAATCTAAATTACCCAATAGAATAACCAACAAATGTCCAAGATTTCATAATTCAAATTAGCCCAACAAGTTATACACATTAAAAACTTAGTAGTTGGAAGTTGAAACTTTCAAAATGACAATAAACATTAAACATCCATATCTAGCACTCCATCACATTTAGACCTTCCTCCTCAGTCTTCAGCAATCAGCATGTAGAGGTCCAGTCCAACACCTAGAAATATTCAAGTTCCATCAGAAATGTATTTCGAATGACACACATTATATTCAAATCAGAAAAGTATCTAAAAGATTATAATTTTTTTTTTCTGAAACGACAGAAAAACTCAAATAAAATAATCGTTTTACAAACCGGAGAACCGACTGGTCCCAAGAAGGAGAATACAAGGGAGAACTGCAACAAGGGNAACTGCAACAAGCAGCCTCAAATTCAAGCCAACTAGCCAAAGAGAACATACAACCCAACTAAACTAAGCTGAAAAAAGAAAGAACAGCAGCAACTAAAACAACAAACTAAACAGAAAAGACAACCTAAAAACAAACTAAAAAAAAACAACAGAAACTACCAAAGGCAAGCTGGAATGCAAGAAACCTCCAGTAGTGAGCAAGCAAAAGAACAACCAAAATCAGAAATAGAAAGAGGGAAGAGGAGACTGAGCCACTGAACAATGAAGAACCTAGCCAAGTCCCCTAAAACCCCGAAGGAGATTATATCACTAGCTTCTTGTTGAACCAAAATCAGAAAAGTTTATAAACTGAACATAAAAAATGATAACCTTCAAGGAATAGGCAACAAGACTTCTTGGGCTGACTTCACTTTCTATAAACAAAAGAAAAAAAAAAAATTCAGAATAAAAGAATGTCCAATCATTATTGATTAGGAATTATGTTCTTAAAATTTTAGTGTGCTTACCTTATCTTTTTTCTTGATGCCATGTAGCTTACGACACCAATCACCAGCGCACATCAACATCTCGACAGTTGCCGGTGCCAAGGAGGAACGATATGCATCAATCACTCTAGTTCCGGCACTGAATGTAGCTTCTGAAGCAACCGTGCTGATAGGGATGGCTAAAATATCAGCAGCCATCTTTGGCAGTATCTTGTACTTTGATGTGTCTTTCCACCATTTGAGTGCATCTAGATTCACGATATCCACACCTGGGTTATCTTTGGCAGTAAGCAGGCCATCCTCAAAGTACAAGTCCAATTCATTCTTTTCTGGTCGAACACTTTCACTGGCTGAAACATGAGTGAGAAATTCACTCATGCCTGAATAAGGTGCTACAGCTATTGATGGGCTGGGGTTCGGGCTGGAACTGGAAGAATTTTGAGTAACGGTTTGGCAGCTTGAATGCGAACTATACATCTCGACATACTCATCATATAGATCATATAATGTCTGCCGAACTTACTTATGTTCAGTTCCACTTCGTTAGAAGCATACATAAGTGGAAAACAATAATTTATGACCTTCATTTTGCACCTCGGATCCATGATTGCTGCTATGGACATTAACAAATTGCACTCGCCCCAATATTTATCGAACTTCAGTTTCATTTTTCGAACCATCGACTGAACATAAGTATCTTCATCATTAGCTTTACTATCGAGTAGCCCTTTTATCCGACAAACTTCACTTAAATATAGATTAGCTGTAGGATAATCACTCCCGGATATCACATGAGTAGCTGTCCAAAAAACTTGCAAAATAATACAAACCTTCTCCACTTTATCCCAATCCTCGGCGGTCGGACATTGTCCGAAATGCGGCTCTCTATCTTGGAATCGAGAAAAAATTTCTCGATATTTGACTGCACAAGCCAACATCTCAAAGGTTGAATTCCATCTTGTCTTGCAATCATAGATTAGCACCTTTCCAGGTAAGTGCAGCTGCTGGACAATTTGAGCAAAGAGAAGGCGTCGTCCGTCTGTTTTGTTTATGTAATCCACCGCACTTCTTATCACATCAACAATATCCTTGATTTCACCAATGCCGTCTTGGACCATTAAGTTGATGATATGCGCACAACATCGTACATGAAATAATTTCC